GAAATATTCTACGGTGATTTGATAAAGATGTGATCACTGAGTACGTATTCTGCAAGGCACTATCCTAAGTATTGACTAATTAAACTTCACAGCAATCCCACGAGGAGTTCATTATTCTTAGCCCATGTCACACAGGAAGTGCCAAGGCAAGGATTTGTCTGGCTCGAGTCATTCTCTCATCCAAGCTACATACCAAAGGCCAGGACTAGAGTGAGGCAAGTGAGGCACTTGTCTTGGGTGCAAAATTTAAGGTGGTGCCAAAAAGAAACATCAGTGATCAGATAAATATTTTAATGTGGTGGCTTTTTGGTTTGTCTTTTAAATATATTGTTAGTGATTTCGGAGATGAAGGGAGAGATAGAGATAGAAATATCAATGAGGAAAGAGAAACATTGATTGGCTGCCCCCTGCATGACCTCCAGTAGGGTCAAGCGTGCAACCAGGGCACGTGCCTTGACTGGGAATTGAACTGTAACCTCCTGGTTCATAGGTCAATGCTCAACCACTGAGCTACGCTGGCTGGGCTAATGTGGTGTTTTTTAAAATATATTTTTATTGATTTCAGAGAGGAAGGGAGAGGAAGAGGGATAGATACACCAATGATGAGAGTATCATTGATCGACTGCCTCCTGCATGCCCCACAATGGGGATCCAGCCTGCAACCTGGGCATGTGCCCTGACCAGGAATCGAACCGTGATCGACGCTCAACCACTGAGCCATGCCGGTTGGGCAATGCGGTGTTTTTATAAATTAGAATTAATGCAAAAATTCCATGATGAACAAAATATCAAAATTAAAAAAAAAAATCAGAATTAGTGATTTTACCTTTTGCCTTAGGCTCCAGTGTGGCTTGACATTGTTGCTTGTCCTATCTTTATTTAAATTTTGTGCTCTAGGGAAGGGACTCACTCACCTCATTCCCCTCATCCTAGTGTGGCTCCTGCTATAGCCCAAAATAAGACACACACCAAATTTTTCCTTGATGTTAAATCTTGAGTTCCAATCAATGACTGGTTCTTTTCATCACAGTAGCAATTATCTGAACTACTGATGCCATCTTTCTGAACTACTCAAAGGCAAAAACCTTCTATGTTGAATGCATAGTAATGAATATAATGAATATCAAATAACCTAAGCACTCACAGGTTAAAGATACAAACTGAAATCCACTGTTGGCAAAATCCTAAGCTTAGCCTTAGTTGGCACTATCCTCATCTCAATGAATAATTAGATATGCATTTAACAAACGTTTATTGAGCACCTATTACATATGTCTAAATTAGGTGCTTTAAGAATAATGGAATGGTTACATGAAATTTTTATATAGGAAAAGGGAGAGCAGAAAAGAACTACTTTTGGGTGTTTATCTCTTGGGAGGTAATCATGGAATACAATTTCTAATTTAACCTTCACATTATCCCTCTCCTGTAGATGGGAAGACTAAGGCTCAGAGAGGTTTAATAATTTATCCAAGGTCATTCAGTTGGAAAGCAGTACTGGATCCCAATCCAGACCTACCTGACTAAAAAATAAAGAAACGACATCAAAAAACATTTACTATTATTATACTAAGACAATTCAAAATTCTACAAAGCATCTGAAGCTACCTATAGATAAGTGGGAAAAGGAAATATAAAACTGCTTACTAAATTCAAACCATGTAAAAATATGTTGACATGTGGACAAAGAGTAAAAGGAAATCATTGGATAATTGCAGTTGATGGTAACATTCTTTAAAAATTATACAATACAATGCCCTAGCCAGTTTGGCTCAGTGGATAGAGCATCAGCTCAAGAACTAAAGGGTCTCGAGTTCAATTCTAGTCAAGGGCACATACCTTGTTGCAGGCTCAATCCCAGACCTGGCTGAGTGCCTGCTGAGCAACCAATCGATGTCTCTCTCTCACATTGATGTTTCTTTCTGTGTCTCTCCTCCTCCCTTCCACTCTCTTTAAATATCAATGGAAAAATATCCTCACAACAACAAAAATCATGCAATACAATAAAAGGTATAGAAAGAAAGCAGTTTAAACTGGATAAAACAAATCTAAGTGTCACAGTGTGAACTTTTATTCCTCACTATGTAAAATGAACAGAAAAGAGTTCTATATATGGTATGCTTGATAACAGAAATTGAAGACTTCCAAGAAAGACTTTAGTTATGATTAATCTGAGCTTCCACATCCTATGAGGTCAGTGGTTTGGTTACTAGCAATACTCCAAACAACAAATGCTATCATTAAACTTGACCTATCCAAATGTATAATTGGAACTAAAACTTGAAGTTTATACCTGTAATTTAACAAAAGGTCACAGCATGGTCACTGAATATAAATAAAACAGCTATTATTTTTGTATTTTCTTCACCATATTCAGTGATTATGTATTTTATCCTTTATATTTAAGGATGTCAACTTATTTCCCTATTTAAGAATACCAAATTCTGACTCACATTTCATTAATACACAAAGTTGGTTGGTGAAACATGAATTCCAATAATTTCTTGAAAAATCTTAGGTCTGATCAGTGAAAAGAAATAAGATATCTGGGAGGGAGTTACATAAATTTGAAATATTTTACAAATAGAACAGTAACTTTACTAAAAATTAAACCTACTCAGTCACAATATACAATCACCTGGACTGAGAAGCAAGAAATTTTCAAATTTTTGAAAATGCAAGAATGTTAAAATAGCAAACTAGCAATAATTCTAGATAAGGTATAACTGTTAAATGGCACGATCTCTCCAATTTCTAATATAAATGGTGCCTAATAATTCGTTAGAAAAACCTCCAAAACTATTCCTGGTTTTTGATAAATTACAATTGGTATTTACACCTGTAAGAAACAGGCAGCATTCTAAAGGAAATTAGGACTTACTTGATAGTCATTTCTCTTAATATTTGGAACATCCATATTGTGAGTAGAAGGGCAAATATCTTCATATTTTTGGCCGGAAAATTTCCATTCCAACAAGGGTAACCTGATTAAGATGGAGAACTAAACCGGTTTAAACTTTGGCAAGTA